TTTGCTGTTATTACTTAATCACAGTGACTGCCGCCGGTGCTGCTCCAGGTATACATAGATCCAATTACCTTTGACTGGTTATATGGCAGAATCGAGTCCAACCTATTGGCGGTCGTTGGCAGTTGTAGACGAATTAAACATAAACAAACCTTTATTAGCTCTTTATCTTGGTCTTTGTTACCGCTTGGGCGTCGAGAAACTGGAGTTTTAGGGTATTGAGTTAGCCAATGCTACCTAATTTACAGTGGTGGTGGTGGTGGTGGTGGGAGGTGGTGGCATGCCGGTGCCGGCAGGAAGATAGAGATGGTGGGTGGTTGGTTTGATTGTGCTGTCGACAGGAAGAGAGAGATGGAAGGTGAAGTTGGGGTTTTTTTGTTATTTTTGTTTTTAGTTTAATTGTTATTAATATTTGGGAATATATTAATTATAAAAGTACCATTTTGCCCTTTTTATTTTAATTAAAATTGAATCAATTTTGACTTTTTTGGTTGACTAACGGTCAAATGGACGGAGGTCCATTTGGACTTCTGCTGCATATTTTTGAAAGGTTTGGGACTGTGACGGCACAAATCAAAAGTTAGGGTAAAGTGCGCAAAAATCTAAAAGGTTTGGGACCGCAGCTGCAATTATCCCTAATATTAATTGGCTTAGAAGTAAATCACTCTGATAGGATAAAATCTATTTGATTAATTGGACCTTATTTATTTCACACAAAATACTATAAGAAGACAACCTTAACAAGTTACATTACAAATTATAACATCATAATCATTTTCAGTATATTAAAATGGGGCGTTAAGAATATCGAATAGATTATAGCATAGAAATCTCGATTCTCGAACGAAAACAAAAACAAAAACAAAAACCCAATAAATTAGTGAACAAAACCAAACAAACACTGAGATTTGATATACGTTATTCTCGAGAAAAGCAAAGGAGAATTCTGGGACTCGACAGTTTTTCTTTTAGGTAAGAACTGGTCATTTTTTATTGCGACTCTCTGTTCTTACGATATTAATTTTGGAAATTGATTCTGGTTTACAGAGTTTTTAATGTTTATTGAAAGCCACAGGTTTTTTAATTTATAAAAGGTGATTGATAGATTTTATTGAAGAAATGCGGAATACCCACGTTCAACGAGTATTGTCTCTGTTTTTGGCTTTTGATTTGACGTGATTTGAAAACCGAAAGGATCTCAAAATGGGGACAAAGGATTTTCCTAAAGATGGCTCTTTTTGAACCTTTTTCTGTAATGGATAATTGGTTTTTTCTTTATCACTGTTACTTGAGATGACATCGTTTAATTCTTCAATTATAGGCCAGCCTTAAATTCAGTTCTTTGAATGCATGAACACACATTTTCTTTTCGAATGGTATATGAACACACATGAACACACATTTTCTTGTGTGATCATATGGTATATTATGTTGGTTATGTGTATATTAGGATTGCTAATTTTGTAACATATATTGGATTTGATTTTTAACATGTTTTTTTGTTGGTAGAAATATAAAATGAGTGCGAAATCGAAGAGGAGAAATGTGACTGAAAATGGGGGTGATACTGGGGAGGAGAGTATTCTCATGACCATGGTCAATAATGGGGAGGATTTGGGACCTATGGTCAGGCTCTCCTTCGAGACAGGAAAGCCCGAATCTCTTTTGCAGCAGCTTAAGAATGTAGTAAGAAAGAAAGAAGTTGAAATCGAGGATCTTTGCAAACTTCATTATGAAGATTTTATTCTTGCAGTTGATGAGCTACGTGGTGTTTTGGTTGATGCAGAAGAGCTGAAAGGGGAGCTTGCTAGTGATAATTTCAAGTTACAAGAAGTCGGTAGTGTATTACTCATGAAACTCGAAGAGCTTCTTGAATCTTATTCAATTAAGAAGAATGTCACGGAAGCCATTAAAATGTCAAAAAATTGCGTTCAAGTATTAGATTTGTGCGTCAAGTGTAATACTCACATATCTGAAGGTCAGTTTCATCCGGCTTTAAAAGCTGTTGATCTGATTGAGAAATTTTTTTTGCATAATATTCCTGTCAAGACACTCAAAATTCTGATAGAGAAGAGAATGCCGTTGATCAAAATGCACATTGAGAAGAGAGTTTGCAGTGAAGTTAATGAATGGCTAGTTCACATAAGGAGTGCTGCAAAGAACATTGGGCAAACTGCTATAGGATATGCTGCTTCTGCTCGTCAGAGGGATGAGGACATGCTCGCTCGTCAAAGGAAAGCAGAGGAACAGAGTTGTTTCGGTCTAGGAGATTTCACTTACACCTTAAATGTTGAAGAAGTTGATGAAAAGTCTGCCCTAAAATTTGATCTCACACCTCTTTATCGAGCACATCACATTCACACCTGTCTTGGGATCCTAGAACAGTTTCGTGATTATTATTACAAAAATCGGTTTCTCCAGCTGACTTCAGACTTGCAAATATCCACAGTCCATTCATTCCTTGAATCCCACCAGACCTTTTTGGCTCATATCGCAGGTTATTTTATTGTTGAAGATCGGGTTTTAAGAACCACCGGCGGGCTGCTTTCACCGAATCAGCTTGAGACAATGTGGGAAACAGCCGTGGCTAAAGTAGTTGCAGTACTGGAGGAACAATTTTCCCATATGGATACAGCAAGCCATCTCCTCCTGGTGAAGGATTATGTAACTCTCTTTGGAGCAACCCTCAAACAATATGGTTATGAAGTCGGCCCGATTCTTGGTACTTTGAATAGTAGTCGTGATAAATATCATGAGCTTCTTTTAGCCGAATGTGGGCAACAAATTACCGATGTCTTTGTCAACGACACTTGTGAGCAGATGATGATGAAAAAGGAGTCCGATTACCAGGCAAATGTTCTTTTATTCCATCTTCAGACCTCAGATATAATGCCAGCTTTTCCTTATATTGCTCCATTCTCTTCCATGGTACCTGAATGCTGCCGCATTGTTCGCTCATTTATTAAGGATTCAGTAAATTACTTGTCTTATGGGTTGCAGATTGATTTTTTTGACTTTGTAAGGAAGTACCTGGACAAACTCTTGATTGACGTCTTGAACGACGTTGCAATTAACACGATTTACAGCGGTACCATTGGTGCATCTCAGGCAATGCAGATTGCTGCAAACCTAGCTGTTTTAGAAAGGGCTTGTGATTATTTTCTTCAGCATGCTGCCCAACAATGTGGAATCCCTGTCCGATCAGTCGATAGGCGTCAAGGTAGTTTGACAGCCAAAATTGTTCTTAAAACATCAAGGGATGCTGCTTATCTTGCTCTACTCAATCTCGTAAACTCCAAGTTAGACGAGTTTATGTCGCTTAAATCGAACATAAATTGGACTTCTGAAGATGTACCCCAGCATGCAAATGAGTACATAAACGAGGTTATTATATATCTCGACACTGTTCTCGCCACTGCTCAACAAATCTTACCATTGGACGCTTTATGTAAAGTTGGGAGTGGTGCTCTTGAGCACGTTTCTAATTCTATTGTGGAAGCTTTTCTCAGTGATAGTGTAAAAAGGTTTAATGCAAATGCAGTCATGAGCATTAACCATGATCTAAAGTCATTGGAGTCATTTGCAGATGATAGGTTTCAGAGTACTGGATTGCTTGCAATATACAAAGACGGTAGTTTTCGAGATTGCTTGATAGAAGCCAGACAATTGATAAACCTTCTCTTGAGCTGTCAACCTGAAAATTTTATGAATCCAGTAATAAGACAGAGGAACTACAATGCTTTGGACTACAAAAAGGTGGCTATTATATGTGATAAATTCAAGGATTCGCCAGATAGACTTTTTGGTAGCCTTTCGAATAGAAACTCAAAGCAAAGTGCCCAAAAGAAGTCCATGGACACACTAAAGAAACGACTGAAGGATTTCAACTGACAGAGCTTGAGTATTTTTTGGATTAGAAATAGCTGAAATTAGCATTATTCAACTGTCAACGGTTTCATTTGTTCTTTTTGTTTCATGTTTGAAATTGTTTCTCCTTGAACCAGAATTTGACACGGATTTTTTTTTTCTTGTCAAATCTTTTTCTTGCTAAATTGGAATAATTTTTTATCTCGTTTGGAGTGCGTGTAGGTATTTCCTAGAGCCTTGCATATTAGTAATTGGACGTGGTTGGATCTTTCTTGTCTGTTTCAATGTCCGTATTTGCATATATGTATTTGTAACTATCTTGCAGAACATCCTGTTCGGGTTTGTGCCGAATGTTGCTCAGAAGATTTTGACAAGAAAAATCTGCTTTTTTGTTGTTTGCTGCATCTTATCATCAGTTATCGAATATTTGAAATATAGAGTTTCAGGTAACTTTAAGTGATCAAATAATTTTTTTTCCATATTTTGTTCATAGTTTTGGATTTGGGTTATGTATATTGCTTTCAGTACCTAGTCCTGCATCAGTTCGAGTTCTCTTTGAAGTTGCAAGAGCCAAGTTCTTTATTGTTAAGCGACTGTACAAGATTTTTGGAAACTTAGCAGTTGGTACACACAAGGTAACAATGTTC